GTGATCGAGTCTTACGTTCAAATCAGACGGGGGGGAAAATGCGCACTAGACGTCTAAGCCAGGATAGTGGAATTGTTTCAGGACGTTTGTTTGGTGGTTTGGTAAGCTTAAATAATCTTGTATACATATAAGTATTATATTGTTATGTTTTGTATTTGTAGGAAAGCAACATTCTCGATACAGTGGCTCCCACCAAGCATTTTGCCAAATCGTCTGATAATTTATATAATTTTTTTATAAGTGAAGCCGCAGCAAATGCCTACAATCAACAACAACAGGGACAGCCAAATGAACAAACAGTGAGGGAAGTAAATGAAGAAGCCATAATACCATACACAACCAAACCCACTGAACGACAGCCACCAGCTTCAAAAGCAAACTACACAGAAAAATGGCACAACTCGACAATCTCCCGAACTCTAGATCATTTGAAGCCGAACTCCATCTCTGCTCCACTGCCTACTCATATTGAAACAGAGTCAGCAGAGCCTAGTCCCACACAAGCATTTGGACCGAAAGTGTTGAATATTGAAGATATTCCCGGTACAGCGATGCGACGTGGTCTAGGTATTCATTTGAATAATCCACTTGTTGAGGACACTTCTTATAGGGAGGACACTGATCAGTGTGATATAACAAACTCGAACGTTTTACAAAATCAATTTGGACACAAGCAACTAGTACCCGTATCACGTAAGAGTTCGAAAAGCTCCGTGGGCGACAGCAGTTTATGCGGTAGCCATTATGACAGTCGAAATACTAGTAAAAGTCACAGTGCGAGTGGTGATGAACGCGATGCGCGTCGCATTAGTAAACAAGACAGAGAGGTGAAATCGTTGGAAAAAAATATCATTCAATTACGTAGCTATAAGTAATTTCGTTTRCAGGGTCTTGATCCAGAGTCCCTTATGTTTCGTGATGGACGGCGTAAAGTTGATATGGTATTGGCTTGGGAAGAGGAAGATTTTGGTGTAATGACCGAGGCCGAATCTCGTCGTCGTGACAATCGTCGCTGTTTTATGGACAATCTAATTAAGGAAGGACTAGAAGTTGAATTAGAAGACAAAACGCAGTCGTTTAATGAAAAAACATATTTTCTAAAAATTCATTTACCGTGGCGCCTGGAGACGCGACTGGCGGAGGTCATGAACTTAAAATTGCCGATTAAGCGGTTCATTACGATATCAGTAAAAGCGTCCTGGGTATGTTACTATCACTTTATTTTGTAGTATAAATAAATAGTKCCTCAAAAAAATGGTGCAATTGTTGTTGATCGAAAACAGGAAATAGRTCTCAAAGAATTTCACTTAGTAAGTCATTAAAAGAACTGCATTACATATGTACTACATCATTCGCAGTAASTTCTATTCAAATCGATGAGTCATGTGATTGCGATCACACCCTTATTTAGCTACAAAGAAAGTTACAGTGCGTTTGGGTTTCAATAATTTCGATGCGATTTAAATTCAATACATTTTTGAGGAACTGAAAATTAATGGATAAAATTGAGTTATTCTCTTTTGGCCTTTTCACATTCGTAGGATGATGAGAATGTGGTGGCACGCAATGTCCACTACTGGAAGTCTCTCTGGAATCGGATAACTCGGAAAATTCAGCTTGACCAAAGCGTTTTGGAAGGGGAAACAACGTTCAAAGCTTCTACTGCCAATGGTAATGCTGAGGAACAGTAAGTACATAGATTTGGTATTCATGGATATGAATAAGGAAAGTGAAAAAATAATAAAATTACAGATTTATTGTCAAGGATCGCGCCACTGCGTATACGAGTGCCCAACGTTCTCTAATGGTTATGCAGGTGCTTATTCGTACCCCTTTCGACGACAGTGACCGTGTTGGGATTCGACGTTTGCTCAATGATTCCACTTATTTGGCTTGCTTTCCATTGCATGAAGGTCGTTACGATCGTCCACACTCTAGTGGCGTCTCATTTGACCGCCGCATTTTATATCTCACGTGGGCTCATCCTTCTCAGTGGTACAAAAAGCAGCCTTTGTGTTTGGTTCGCAAGTACTTTGGCGATAAGATAGCTCTATATTTTTGCTGGCTGGGTTTCTACACGGAGATGTTGGTTTATCCAGCAGTTGTGGGCACTTTGTGTTTCCTTTACGGGCTTGCATCTCTGGACTCGGAAGATAATACTCCAAGTAAGGAAATTTGTAATGAATTCGGGACTGGCAATATTACACTCTGTCCGCTGTGCGATAAGGCCTGTAGTTATCAGCATTTATACGAGTCTTGCTTGTTTTCTCGCTTGACATACCTCTTCGACAATCCTTCTACCGTATTTTTTGCTATATTTATGTCATTTTGGGGTACGTTATGAGATACATATATACCTTTATAGTACCTAATTACAATTATTAATAGCAACAACATTTCTGGAGTTATGGAAACGCAAGCAGTCTGTCATTGTCTGGGAATGGGACTTACACAATGTTGAATCCGATGAGGAAAATCGTCCAGAGTTTGAAACAAATGCCACTACATTCCGTATGAACCCAGTGACACGAGAGAAGGAACCTTATATGTCTACATGGAGCAGAGCAATACGGTTCGCCRTCACCGGTAGTGCGGTCTTGTTTATGGTAAAAGTAATTTAAGAAATTATATTTAAGTGAATTAAACATTTGCTTACCTTTCTACAGATCTCGGTGGTTTTGTCTGCCGTGTTGGGCACCATCATATACCGTATTTCATTGGTTTCAGTCATTTATGGTGGGGGTGGATTCTTCGTAAAGGAACATGCAAAATTATTTACAACTGTTACAGCTGCATTGATCAATTTAGTTGTAATTATGATATTAACAAGGGTAAGATATTTATAGTTGGATAATTTCTTCAATTTAAGTACATAGATAGTACATTGCTCCCTCTTCTAGATCTATCATCGTATGGCCATAAGGTTGACAAATTTGGAAAACCCTCGAACTCACACCGAGTACGAAGACTCCTACACTTTCAAAATATTCTTTTTTGAGTTTATGAATTTCTACTCATCGCTCATCTATATTGCGTTTTTCAAAGGTCGATTCTTTGATTATCCTGGCGATGATCAAGCCAGACGTAGTGAATTTTTTCGTCTTAAAAATGATATTTGCGATCCGGCTGGATGTTTATCAGAGCTCTGCATTCAGCTTGCGATTATTATGGTGGGAAAACAGTGTTGGAACAATTTTATGGAGTATCTCTTTCCAAAATTGTATAATTGGTGGCGACATCGTAAGCACAAAGCTGCAACCAAGGATGTTACCCACTTACATATGGCTTGGGAGCAAGATTATCATATGCAAGACCCAGGACGCTTGGCTTTATTTGATGAATATTTAGAAATGAGTACGAGCACAAAATATTGCATTTATTTAATTTAATTGACTTAACTAAATTACTTCACAAACATAACAATTTTCACAGTACTACAGTATGGTTTCGTGACATTGTTTGTGGCAGCATTCCCTTTGGCACCACTTTTCGCGCTACTAAACAATGTTGCGGAAATCCGTTTGGATGCATACAAAATGGTAACACAGGCTCGCCGTCCTCTAGCAGAGCGTGTTGAGGACATTGGTGCCTGGTATGGCATCTTGCGCATAATAACCTATACAGCTGTTGTCTCCAATGCTTTTGTTATAGCCTACACAAGTGATTTTATACCGCGCATGGTCTATAAGTTCGTATATTCAAATACGAACACATTGGTGGGTTATATTGAGCATTCGCTTTCAACTTTCAATACATCAGATTACAAAGAGGAGTGGGGAGCAACAAGCAGCGAAAAGGATCCGGACGTGTGCCAATATCGTGGTTACCGGTGAGTTTAGTTAACAGAATGTAATGTGTTTTAACTTATATTTAAATATACATCTTGTTTATAATTGTGGAGAGTAGAAACGGACCTCATGATCCTGAACCCTATGGATTGAGTCCTCATTACTGGCATGTTTTTGCTGCGCGCTTGGCGTTCGTTGTTGTCTTCGAGGTAACTATTATTTCATCTGTATGCATAGAAATGAGTTTGCGAGATTTATATATGTATTGAATATTTTTCAAGCACGTCGTTTTCGTCATCACAGGCATTATGCAATTTATAATCCCAGACATACCCGCTGAAGTGAAGACACAAATGCAGCGCGAACAGTTACTTGCTAAAGAAGCGAAATACCAGCACGGCATTAAACGCGCCCAACAGGGTGAAAATCAGGATCTATTGAGTATTTTCCGAGATGCGGGCAGTCGTAGTAGTGGTGCTACTTTGGGTACGAGKGGCTTTGTTGGACGTGGAAGTTGGGCGCGACGTTTCAGTCGACTTAGTGATGGCTTAGATGCACATGTAGAAGTAGCGTCACGACCTCGTCGCTCAGTAGAGTCGACAGTATGGGAGGTTTCTTGACACGAAGAAGAAGAAGAAGCCCAAGAGCCGAAAATTGCCAAAAAATAATAGTACCACCAAATCGTACGAAAAATATAAAATGACCGCAAATATTACCAATATTTGACTAAGTTACGTAAAAATTTCTATGTATACATGCACATATGGTTTTAATAATAGGTTACTTATTTAATCCTTTTCTCATATTGATGCAATAAATCAAATATCTATGCATATCAAAAAACGAATTCGAGACTTATAGTATTCATATTCAAATTATTGATTCTAAATAATTTCTACATTATRAACATTTGCGCATATACATACATACATACAGACGTATGTTTGATTTTATATAAATAAATTTCTCTGCTTAATTAAGTGTTAACAAATTAGTTGAAGCTTAAAAACTGAATTTAATTAAACAAACATATAATATAATTCCAACTGGTAAACGATTCTAAACAATTTAAATTTCGCATGTACATATGTATGAATACAAAATCAATATTTCAGTTTTCCGTTTCCATCGTGACAATAGTTTATTATGGTAACTTGACATTTTCACATACGTCTATATGTATAGGCATATGTATGTATGTATGTATGTGTTTAAGTTTTTACTTTTTCTTGAAAAAATACATATGTACATATGTATGTTAATATATTTCATAAAATGGCAAAGAAGCCGACACCTGAAGATATTTTTTACGATCATCTAACATTAGGCTTAATGGGGACACTTGGTAAGTCTAAAGAAGCAATCATCAATTTCATGCGCAAACATACATACATATAATTCTATTCTGCTTATTTAATGTTCAAATTAGCCAAGCTTCCGCGAGTATGTAACGTTAACTGTGAACATCGTAAACCGTGTGAAAAGACTCAGATTGTTAATTGGGAACAAAGGAATACTATATATTTGCCCGAAGATATGAAAAAGTTTTATTTGTCCACGGATGGATTTCTCTTACAGTGGAGCTATCAGTATGCATGTAAGAGTTTATTTTTGGTTTCATTATAAATTTATAATTTCATCCTTCATCAGCAAAGGATTTGCGCCGTGTAGGCTTTATCCATATTCCACATCTTCACCAAATTACTTTGTTACGTGACAACATTGAACCATTAATCAATTCGAGTGCAAATTCTCCATCACAAAGGACCCTTGCAGGGAACGAAGCGAGAGTTGCTGACGATGTTGGAACAGATACAAGTGGGGATGTGGGGGCAAGTGTCAGCGTTCCTATATTGTTAACGAGGAAAGATCGATGGGGTAATCCACTACCAAATATATCAACAAAGACAAAAATATTTGAAATTCATAATGTCAATGATGTTGCCAAAGTGTGTATGCTCTATGAGGCAAATTGTTCGACCAATCCAAAATTCTACCTTTTCGAGTTAAATGCCATGAAATTGATATTTCTATCCGATACATTTAGCGAATACTTACGGATGGCCATTGCACATTTAGGACTACCCTATTGGGAACTTTGCTTCTCCAATATAGGCTTACCGCCGTGGACAGAGGTATACAAATAGTTATTTGTAATCTCTAAACAAATATTAATTTTATTCTTCCTAAAGCAATTGTTTATGTTGCTGGCACCACATTTGCTGGAGGACTATGAACCGCGACGTGGTCGCCAAATCCACCCATCCCCTGAACACCCATATAATATAATCGATACCTCTGTTTTTCGCATAAAACCAAAAGGTTCTATGATAAACGCTTCTTCAAGGAAAAATTTATCTTGATTTCTTACGAAGAAAGCATACATACATATATTTGAGGAAATAAATATTTTTTAGCACTTCTTCTAATAATTACAGCAATTTCTTGTCTAAATTTAAAAATTTAAAAACAAATTAAATTAATAAAAATCAATATTTTGACTTTCCAAATCGGACAACATTTTATCACGAATTTGCGGCCTCGGATCTTCTTTTATTTCTGTAGAAATTGCACCGGCTTTTCCCAGTAGAAACTCTAATTCATCGAGCGTTAGTTTCTCGCCTCTCAACTCCAATGGTCCAATATATTGTTTCTTTAATTGGCCTTCGTTATAAATAAAAACTGTCGGTAAGTTTTTTTCAGGAAAATTAGGTATGCAAGTAGTTGCAATGGAACGTAAGAATTTCGTTTGCGGAAATTTTGCAGCCAACTGTTGCATGTGGTGATGAATAAGTGAGCAAAGGGGTACACCATTTGCATAAAGATGGATCACTACCCAAATGCCATCACCCGCTTTTGTCACCTCGCTCACATAATCTTGTCCAGATATTTCCCGCACTGTTCCAAATTTTGCTTTCTCGGCAAATGCCCTCATTTCTGCCATCCGTCGCTGCCGGTATTGTTCTAATACCTCTTCGTCTTCAGAATCTTCCAGTTCATCTAATTCATCCAAAAACATTTCTTCAATTTTCTTTGAACCATTTTCCCCACTCCTTAAATCGGTTCGTCTATTTATGGCATCATCCATCATCTYTTGGATTTGCTCCTCTGTGATTTCAGCTTCTTTCTGCTTTGGTGCAAGGATGCCTTTTGCGCGGAGCACATCATTCCATTCGGTATCCTCATTGGGGTCCTTTAGAGAGAAAAATGTTTTATAAAATAGCTTCATACATATTTTTTGAAATGTCATGAACCAATAATATCGTTGGCCCATGCCGATCAATTGGAATGTTTTATTTTTAGACCAGTTTCATGACCATATATGGATTGACTGTGGTCATATAGACAATTTTCTGAATAATTACCTGCATGTTTAAGTGATTAACTTTAAAAATAATTATTTAAACTAACAATTTGAAATTAATAATATAGAGGCTAATGATTCATATATTCAATTCGCTAGATAGCAAAAATTATACGACATGTAAATAATATAWGCAATTATTAAAGTAACCAAAGGAAAACTGATAAATTGACGTTTATCTTTTTCCTTTGGTGATATCATTCGTAGAGTGCTGCCAAATCGCATTTCACTTCATAGCAGAACATGTTCAGACAATGAAACTTTCATTGCTTATTGTCACCAAAATAATGGTGCTTCCAAATTTTATTTCAAAAATTATTTATTACGTTTCTTCAGATTTCCAGTTTACAGCTAACGAAATAAAGTTCCTAGGTGTAATTTTAAACACGCCAATAAATTGCTTCATAAATGATTTGTTATAAACTGAAACTTAAAAATCCCCATTGATTAAATGTTTCAAATATCCTACAAATTTAAAAATTTTGAATATGTATCAAGATTAAACAAAAAGAATTTTTAAATTGAAATATGTTATTTAGGAATCAGTTAATAGATACTATTCATACGATATAGTTTGAGAAAACTGGTGAGTAATATGGATAAGTAAAATTTAAAATAGAATATAGTTGTTTTGACAAAATATAGTAATATTTTTCTTATAAGGACAAACACTACTTATTTTTTTAACTCGTCGTTGGGAACTTAGTACAAGGCTGTATTATCGAAGTTTTACGTGCAGGCACCGTTTCCGGAGTAGGTATTGCTTCACCAGTTGCCACTTTATTGGCAAACACCTGCTTTACTCCACCACCTTTTTGCTTTGCCATTTGGTAATCACCAGAGTCGAAGAATTTTTGCTGTAAATTTGTAACATGATAATTTGTTTTATTTTGTTTGGCTACAATATATCGATTATACTTACACCTTTCTGTAACCGCTTTTGAAGGAAAGCTGAATGACCCCCAGGGCCACGCAGACCAGATGGATACTTTGACTTCAATTTTTCTTCTTCTATTTTCTCTAGTTCTCGGGGATTGGCCTAACAGAAATAAATGGTTTTGAAATACTAGATTCTAACATTTACTTTTACTTTATAATGGCTCAGAAATTTACAGTTTATATACATATTCAATACAATAACCATACCTGATCTTGAGCTTCAGGGGCTTCCGGTGGTGTGCATGGTAAACTGGAATCTTCTCCGGCGCTCATCTTTTCAAAGATTTAAATTGCTATAATTACATAAAACATATGAAGCTATATTTTTTGCAAGGTCGTCTAATGCCATTGATATTTGAACAATTTAGAAATACATAACAAAATTTAGCATGAAACAAAGGTAGGTAGATGGCATCTAATGTAACATACGCACACATGCATGGATATCATATGAATACATATGTATGTGTCTGTCTTTTTAGAGTCCTTTAAACCTGTCTGCTTATTAAATAATTCTATTGGCAAAATTTTTATTTCATATAAGCGAAAATTTAAATACACTTTGCAAAATTAGTACAAAAGTATCCACATGTCGAAAGTGCGATATATGTACAAATATGAAAATATTTACAGTTCAAGGGATATATGTTGGCTGTGTAGTTCAAAGCTTTTAATTATCGTTGACAGTGCATAATAATAATTCACTTCCTTTATTTTTAAAGCCAACGAAAACTGTACTTATATTAAAATTGGTTGTACAAGATATTGATCACGTGCTCGAAAAATTTTGCTGCTCGATACTTAAATTTTAAATCCAAAATGTGGCACAAGGACTATGGCTTTTATTAAAAAATGGCCAATAGGGTGTCAAAATTAAAGTTAATATACATACATAGTTTAAAATATGTCACAACGTACCTGTGAAACTGATTGGCTCTTTTTTCGTTAAATTTATTATTTTTTCCTTTCTACTTCGGTTATTTTGCGATGGCTACTATGTGGAACTCCGCTAATTGATGTTTGCCAGTTGCAAAAAAAACCAATAACACAGCCGTTGATTTGCTCTAAATGCAACGCGAAACAAAGCGGTGAAAAGAGAAAAAGTAACGGTTTCAGGACTTATTTATATTTGGTCTAGAGTTGTATAAACTTACAAACGTTCTTTCAACGAACTTAGTTTATGGACTTTCTAACTATCTTAAATATTTTATGCAAACAAAAATTTCACGCTAATTTTCTTTCCCAAAATCGTTTTGGTCTGTTTTTACCCAGAGTTGTACTCGGTGTGTAGATTTGTTATAAAGTTGCCACTAAGTAAAAGGAAGTTCAATATAATAAATTACATATTAATTCATGATATTTTTAATATTAATAATTATAAAAAGTAATGAAAATATTACTGCACCATATATAAATAATATTAAGTGGTTAGATTAATGATTAAATGAGAAAAAAAAAATTATAATATTGTACTTAAAACACAGCTGATTATTTATTTTGTTTTATACGGCATCTGGCAATACACACATATGTCAATTTTCGGTTGACATTTCTATCGCAAAAATTTATCAGATTTTTGGAGTGAATTAATTACATTGTTGGAATAAAAAATCAAATAAAGATGAATTCGAAGGATAGAGAGATTTCGAAGTCGAAATTCAAGTTCTTCATGAAGAATCCCAAAGGCATTGCTGGTAAAAATTTTGTCATCTACACTCGTCTGCAAACCAGAATAATACATTTACTCATTACATGGGAATAACTTTAGGTGGTACTTGCGAACGTTCCCTGCGTCCCGAGGTAGAACGAGAATTAAGACCTGAACAGACAACTGCTCAGCGATGCAAAACGTTGTCGGAACTGCAGCTGCAGAATATGAAATTAGAAGAGGTAAATAATTACAAACTCTCAATTTTAATTGGGTTAATCGTGTTGCTATCTACAGGCTTCCATTAGGGAATTATGGAATCTTACCAAGGACTTAATAATACCAAATAAACCAGCAGAATGTCGCCAAACAGCGTTAACTTTCTATAAAAGACTTATTCACAGTCAATATAAAAACTTGAATTTGTTGCGGCAGCATTTTTTTCTTGTTATACAAAACCATGAAGTTGGGGAAGACCTAAAACATCGGTTAGATTTGCTAGATACCTTAACTGATAATGGGAAAGATATACAAAATTTCGAAGAAGAGGTAAGTAATGAAACTTTATTTGTAACAGCGAATTAAAATACTTTTGTATAGATTGGCAAATTTATGTTACAATGGATTCCAGCCATAACTGAGGCTCATTTACTTCGTGAGTTCTTGGGCATTTTGGAGAATATCATTAAGTTCAATGCTTCACTGTTGGATAAAGATATAGTTGTTGGTATTATTCAGTATGTATCTATTGTATCTTTGTCTTTTTGATAAACTGTAAACATATATATAATAATTTTCATTTCTTTAAGAAATGCCTGTAATCTGAGTTGCACAGTTGAAGAAGATGACATTGGTATTCAGTGTCTGACTATTCTTGAAATGGTTATGTGCTACACGATATTTCCAAGCGAACCTCTAAGACAATGTGTTATTACATTATGTCGTACAGTTAATTATTCACCATATTGTCAGGCGTCATGGAAGGTGAGTTTTATCTTAACAATTAAAAGCTTTTATAAGAATATCCTTTGAATCGTTGATTACTTTTTATACCATAGTATTAATCGAGGTCAAAAATTGATAAATTTTGATGACAATTTATCATACACCGATTTGTTCGGTTGATCGAAAGCAAAACCTTTTATCTGTTCTATTTCTTTTTTGATACTTTTATCTGTGTTGTTCTCCACATTTGGAACAACGGTTTGATTTTGATTAGCCAGCTTGACTTTTGTAACTGATTTTGTAGTAGGGAGAGTTGGTTGCTCTTTCATATATATAATTTCAGGTTTTTCTGTGTATTTTAATCCTTCATGCAATTTGTTCAACCGTTCAGTACAAATCCCATTTACATCCCAACGGCAGAAGCGCTTGTTTTTATCATAGTATGATCCTTGTGGACAACGTCTAGGAAACATTCGGCCATTTATACATAAAAAGAAGTTATCACATTCTTTTAAATATAGCTGAAAGTCTGCTATATTATTGGCAAACCTGTTACATATTTTAGTTATCGCCAATTCAGTTGAGCTAGGCAGAGCTATACAAATGCCAATCAAATCTGGAAGACAGCTACTGACTTGTTCGCTATAATATTGTCCTCGTGGGCATTGCTGTAGTACTGCTTTACCATCACTGCACATATAGTATGTTTCGCAATTATCTGGATTGCTGAAGATGGCATAAGGAGGTAGAAGGCAACTACATTTGTGGTCGGCGCTTGTAGATATTGGCTGACAGCTGTCATATTTCGTTGAAAAATATTGCTCTTTTTTACAATTTTGTATGACATATTCTCCATTCTCACAACGCGAAAAGGTTTGACAGTTGTCACTGATGCGGCGTATGCTTTCAGGTGTGCATTTATCTAGTGCCTCCATAGTTGAACAATCYCCTATTTTACAACGTTTTTCCTTTGGATCGAAATAATAATTATCGGCGCAACTATATTCCTCTACATTACCATTAAGGCATAGGTAGAATTTATGGCAGTCTTCTTTACTCTGAACAACATCCCAGTCTGATTTCAAATTGCAAATACTATATTCTTTTCGGACCTGGAAAATAAAAAAAAGATACCTTTGTATTTTTATTGCTTGCCAAAATAAAAAAAAACCAAAACTCACGTTTATTCTCTTTGTACCAACAAGATTTGCTCCACAAATTTGGTATATCATTGCCAAAAGGCATGCGACTGCTTGAACCACTATAAAATAAATTTTATTTAAAAAAATTATTAGCAACTTTAAACATAAGTAACTAACAAGTGTTGTGATTGTTCACTTACATTTCATTACCATATTTAATTAACGTCTTATGTATTTATTTTTTATAACTATATCAAAAACAGATTTGTAGTCGTTGAAAATATTTCACTGAGCCAACTTCTTGTGCCAACTGTTGTTTTTATTCCGAATGTGCAATGATAATTTTTAATAAACACTCATTTTATCAGCTCATTTTTTCCAAACATCCATTTACTTCCGTTCATTGAATTGTGTTCTGCGCGTCAAACAGCGATGCAATCATGCRTAGTTTTTGGTTGGGCTCAATTTCACAATCACTAATAAGGCACATATTTTAATACACACGCAAATATATGTGTGTTTATTAAAATCAGTGAATACATCAGGTGTTAATATTCCTCTTTAATATCGCCGCACCACTTTTCAATTTTTCACATGTAACATAGTTCAATTATCTCATTGCTTCATATGATTTTTCGAGTCAGGCAAATTCAATGATAAATGATACTCTGAATATTTTCGATTCTTAATGTCATATGTGTGTGTACATAAACTCRCGAGTTTTTGGAGTGAATCACTTTATATGTTACTATTAAAACAAATCTTTTAATTTAGATAATGAAAAACCTATTAGGCACACAACTGGGATATCACTCTATGAAAATGATGTGCAACATCCTTAACGATCGCAGTCTTTACGGAGACCAACAACTCTTACGTGGTGCAGTGTTTCATCTGAACATGAATATTTTTGGTTCAAATGTAGTTTTTCAAGTGTCTCCAATGTTTTATGCATCTACGGTTCTGACCTGTTTTCTCCACGTAAGTTCCAGTTACATACTCTCTTTAATTTATGCTAAATTATATATTAATATTTATGGCTTCTGCAGGCATTGGAAAGTCGACAAGTAATCGTGACGTTCGAAGTAATTTTAAGTGTAAGACGAGTTATTAATTACTACAAATCGGAACTATCAGAGATAATATGGGATTGTATTTGTGATACAATGAACACAATTCTTGATAATATTGAATATTACGGTTAGTATAGTTATCATATAGATATGTGTGTACATTTTTAAAAACTTGTATAAAACCGTGTCTTCAACGATTTTTTTAGAGCAAGTTAATATCAATCGGGATCGGCTTCACTACTTGCAAATAAATTTTCATGAAAATATTGATTGCATTGAACAACTTTTGTATGATGACACTACCCCAATTCTCGCAAACATTAATCGGATCTATGACTTGATCGAACGCGTGGCAGAAAATCGCAGCGAAGCATCTGTACTCAAACTTATAGAGTATCGTTCGACAAAGGTAACCGCTACAAGACCTCAATGGTTACAAGTGCTCAACGAATTTATCTGCCGCTTTTATAAAATGCCCAATACGAACGTGCGTCTAAAAGCAATCCAATCCTTGGTTCGTATTATGGAATTAAACCGTTACAGCTATGAAGAAGAAATACTTGAACGCGTCGTAATTCCACACTTTTCACAAATTTCTAATGAGACAGATTTGCAAATTCGTGTGTCTGTTGCAAATGCATTGGTGGAGTTTGCACGACACTGCGATACCAAACGCTGTGGCGAGCTATTGGATATATTGGAAAAGCTTGTTAACCGGCCATTTGAACAGCACACGAGCTCCGCCGACTGTATTATTAAGTGTGAATCGGATATATTAGATGTCGTTACGGCAGTACATGGGCTAATTGAAATATTTGCTGTTAAATTACATCGCTTGCCTTCAACGCATGCCATTAAAATTTTTAACATACTGATAAGTCATTTAGAGCAACATTATGAACGTCCGAAAGTATTCGAAAATGGTCGCATTGTTCGTTTTAAGGTAATTGGTATGATTCACCATAAATGAGTAAGTGTTGGACTTATGATATTTCCTGTAGATTTTCAAGTGGCTCCTGCGCGCACGTGCAAATGCTTCTTATCACATAGGCTATCCAGATCCTGAAAATGGAGACGCCATAAAGTTTAGCGCATACTTGGGTATCGATTCCAGTTTACCGCCACAAGGAAACCAACATCCACGGCACCAATTACCATCACACGATTTAATAGCGGGCTCTCATTTTACAACCATTTCTATACGCAGGGCTTGCAAAACTATTATCAAATGCCTAGACTTAGAGCGTGGTGAGTTAAAACATATCTGCTTTTATGTTATTGTTATGGTTGTCAAAGTAGAATTCTGCCGAGTTGACGGTCCTTTGGCGGATAAAAAATCAGACTTAGTTTCGGTTACGCAGACCCGTCTGTCATGGGAACGTATATACATATGTATATTTTTATCTTAAAATATCCATCAGCTATTAACATAAATATTATACTTAACTTTCATTTACCATCCTCTAGATTATGAAATTTTACAACTAGTTATCAAAGAGCTACCAAAAGTGCTATGTAACAAAGCTCTTATCCAAGGAAATGACATTGAAGCATTAGCTGTTTCGTTATTTCGCATTTTTCAAGACGTTAACAAAGCTCTACATCTTACTTATGCACCAACTAGTGAGGAGGTGAATGCATTATTCCTGCCTGCAATCGCTTCATTGGTGATTTATCACCATTGTATATCATCACACCAAATTAATACATTAATATTAGCGCTTTGCTCCGGCATATTCTCGGGCACAGCTAATGTCTGCATAAATACGTTAACAACGATGATTCTTGAAATGCCCGATACATTGACGCGCACATTGGCTGATATATTGCTTCAAATGAGCAAAATGTCGGATACTGCTATGGTTGCAATACCTGTGCTGGAGTTTCTATCAAGTAATGTGTAACAGTATTTGATATGTAGTACTGTATTTGTGAATTAACTCAATTGCTCACGGCTTACTGTTTTTAGTTTTGAGCCGAATGCCCAATCAATATTTTACAAACTTCATACCACGCCAATACATGTATGTATTTGCCATATCTTTGCCATACACCAAACCGAATAGATATGACCACTATACGGTGTCGCTGGCACACCATGTCATTGCTGGCTGGTTTCTAAAATGCAAACTGGATATGCGCAAGAATTTTGTCACCTACATAATATCGGTACGTCTACCCAAGTGAATTTTAATTTTTAATTAAATGTATGAATTTCAGTCGATTCAATCAAACGCCAGTATGTTATACGATGACATTGACAAGTTTAAGCACAGCATACAGCGCCAGGATCTAAATAGTTTGAATGAAGATTCATCAAATCGCAAGCGCAGCACAAGCTTGACAGAACGCGGTAGTCGTAATACAAATGTACGAAACGGTTCTGATATGCGACCGCCAATCAACGACAATTTAAAGAGTTTTCATGCAGAATTAGCGGAGACTTGTATAGATTTCTTGGCCCGTCATACTTTTTCGCCGTGTTCGGCTTTACCTAAGCGGTAAGTTCTCATTAATTGGTGTATAATTTCTAGGTCTAATAGTTAGTTAATTTTTTGTCCTAAAACGATTTCAGTTTGCCTGCAGTGGAATATTTATTAAAAGACGGTTTGTCGCAGACATGGGTAGTTGGACATAACTTGGTAACAATTACAACTTCTGGCTGCCCTACTGGACCTATACGAAACGGCCTATGCGATCGTTGTTCTCATATAGGAAAACAGGCAATCAGTAGCAGTAGCTTGGTAGCGAGTAAAAGTGATTCGAGTAGTACAGCACCATTATCGCCGGAAACTAACAATACACAGTCTTCAGTCACTCCATTGGCCGCAGAACGTCGCTATACCAAAGCCAGTCTACAGTACAGTAGTGGAAATGAGTCCGCAGGTAGCACTGATCTCACTTCCTCTTCGTCCTCTGCTTCGGGCGCGATTAGTTCAAACATTGCCATAACTCAGCGACAAATATCAAACAGTTCTACCGCTTCGTTAGAGGCGCTTTCACGTCGTGGTTCAAATCCAGAACCCTCAGAGGGAGTTGCGGGCGCTGTTGGCAGTACTACTTCACTACAGGGTGGTCATTCACTTTCAACAACGAGTATAAGTGCTTCTCCGACACAATTACAGTCAGTGCAGCAGCAACTTTGTGTACGTTCATGTAGTGGATGGGCAGAAATATTGATACGTCGACCCACAGGCAACATTTCTTGGATAACACGCATACAGAATCCAATAGCAAACGATTGCTTTGGACATGATGTGCCATTTAGTAACATAGTTTCACTCTTTTTACCAACATCTCATGGCGGTGTGTTTGGGCCCGACTTCGCACACTCTACCTTAATGCCAGAACTGCAACCAGAAAACGGAAAATCCGTTGTTGGTGGTATTTCTAACGCTTTTTCATCCAATACAAGTGCAGATAACGATGGATCAGTACAGCCTGTGGGAAGTGCTCCAATAATTGCAGATGAACAAAAAACGGCGGGCACCAACACAAAGGTTCGAGCTCTGCAACGTCAAGAGGAGATTTCATCGTCAACAGCTGTGCCCTCTTTGGGTTCTTCTCTGAGTACCGCTGCTATCGACATACCCAAACCATTAACAAGTAAACGTATTGGCGGAAAGGAGGCCTTAGCCGATAGCGTAAGCGATGGAGAAGCAGATGATAATACGAGGCAATTCGCAGATGAATTATCGCGTGCGCGCAATCCTGTGCGGCGTGTAAATTCAAGCCCCGAGATGAGTTCTAGTTGGAGACAGACATTTCTGGCAGCAAAACCAGTGCCTCTGTCTGCGGAATCAGCCAAAATAAAAGGTAGTAAATATTCTGCGAGCTTTCAAGGTCTTGAGGAGGCTCATAGTCAGCAACTGCAACAACAAAAGAAAAAGAGYGTACAATATACAAAAGATATGAGAGTCAGCTGTGAAGCGATCCCAGAAGAAATTGCCGGCTCCACGCCACCACAGGTGCAATCTGCCGATACTCTAGGAGTTGCAACATCGGGAGTGCCAGGAAATGAACTTCTTTCATCCTTTTCGGCTGGTTCCGTAGCAACAACGGCAAAAAATCTATTGACAAATAATGCAGCGATTATTGCATTGCCACCCAAACAACATTCAGCTGATGATGTTAGCATTAGCGCCAGCATGCCAGCTAACGCGGTGCAACAATCGACATCTAGTTCGTCGCTGAAACTGAATGTGGATATAGAAAAGGTAGTGACGAAGCCGCCACATTCTCCAGCAGCAGTACCGTCACCGCAATCACCACGATTGGACAAACAGCCTCCCAACAGTGGTCATAAGACCACTACTTTTACTACTAACGCACCAACAAACCACCAGGGACTTGCTAAATCAAGTAGCAGCGGTGGAGGCAATGCAAACCTCACAAGTGCTTCATCATACCTGGGAGGAGGCCCCTGTGATTATGGAAATAATAGTAATGGTGACATGATGAGAGRGCGCTCGAAAACCATTTCCGTAGTCCGTGAGGTAAACGGCCGTTCTCGTCCGACTACGTCGAACTTCCGAAGCTTTAACAATACATCTAAACCATCAGTCAACGCGAAACTCTGTATGAATCCGAGTTTTTTGTTCATGCAACTTTACCATACTGGCCAATTGCAAGTGACAGATGTACCCATCAAAGTTCCACAAGAAGAAACTAATGTACTAACTGTATTTGACTTAGCACCACCTTTTGAGACACACAAGATAGGTGTGCTCTACGTTGGACAAGGCCAATGTAACAATGTAGTCGAAATTCTACGTAATTCGCATGGTAGTATGAGGTACGTAGAGTTCTTAAGTAATATCGGCACACTTGTTAGCCTAAAGGAGGCAGAACGGAACAACTTGTTTGTTAACTTAGACAGAGGTGGCGCAGATGGAAAGTTCACATACGTTTGGAAAGACGACATTGTGCAGGTGAATTAAAAGCTCTGCAACTATTAATTAACTAAGTTGTGTATAACTATTTGTATTTTTGTACTACTTAGGTAACGTTCCATGTCGCCACTTTGATGCCGACTAACTTGCAGAAAGATCCAAATTGCAACGAAAAGAAAAAACACATCGGTAACGATTTCGTTAAAATCGTTTATAATGAGAGTGGCGAAGAGTATAATCTAAATACAATATCGGTATGTATGAACAACTGTAATTGTAGTTCTTATTCTGTATTTTATACTTTCTTCCAGGGCCACTTTAACTATGCTTGCGTTATTGTAGAACCTTTAGAATTGAATAGTAACCGCGTTTATGTAAAAGCGCGGCCGGAAATATCGAAATTCGTGTGCCATCCCGAACCAAAAATTGTTTCAGATCACAGTGCACCATTATTGGCTCGACAGCTCGCATTGCACGCGAACGTAAGTAGATATGTGCTTTTTAGCATACATATTATCTATTAGTTTGATTAGTAATACGAAACGACTTTTTCGACTACCCAATATTTAATGCACTTATTATTTGTCTCTTTTTGTCAAATTATTTTCAGCTCGCTTCACAAGTATACCAGAGCCTGCAGAAGAAAAATCCATATGCTTCCAATTGGCTAGAACGCTTGCGAATAATTAAAAGGCTGCGAACAAAGGTAAGAAATATATATATTAGTAATAACAATATATTTAGTGCGGAAAAACAAAATTTACAGTTAATTGAGCAACAAAATGATCAACATCAAACCGGAACTTCTTCAGGTGCTGAAGCTGAAGAGCATACGAGCGACCATTTAAAGAAACACAACACTAATCGTGATTTTACTAAATACGCTTAAATTATTGAAGTCGAACTGAATAAATATACTCTTGTTATAATCACATAGAACCTGTTAGTGAACTTGAAAATTTAATCTTCTATTAGAAATTACGTTACGTTAAATATTATATACATAAAGAAATCGCAAACGATGTAAAATACACATAACATATCGCATCAGTATACGTTAAAGGAAAATGCAAGCAAAATGCATCATAGCGAACAATAACCTATAGATTAATATTTTCTGRCGATCACACTGATCCAGTACCTTTATATAAATATTAAATTATTCTATTCAGATTTTCMATTCGGTTCTGTCAGTCTATTAGATTAAGGCGAAAATATCTGCGTTTGCTAATGATGCGTCGATATCTCTTTCCATTCATTAGAAATTTGTGAGAGAACTGCAATGATCGCCATACATACTTACGACACAATTTTTGCGCTTCTAGTATCAAAATTATTATTTTCTCAGCTTTAACGTGTTTGTTTTCGATAGAAACTTTCCCATTATTTATTTATTTATTTTTTTCTTAATACAACGTCAGAGTAGAAGACATTTCAATGTTTTTTTTTATATATATGTATATATATATTGTAAATATTGATTTCCTCTAAAACCTTTCGATTTCACATTTAATCAAATCAGCATTTTGTATGTTACATAATAAATTTTAGAACTATTTTCACACCTTCTTGTTAAATTTAAAATATATTAATGTGTTTAGTCATATATACATACATATAATATGTAAACTACAATATCTACTTGTGAATGGTTGCATGAATAGTGAACTATTACTGGGGTGGAATACCATATTATATATTTGCCTTTTAGTTGTTATTTAATTAAATGTTTGAAACATTCACCGTTTTCCTCTCACTTTTGAAAATTCAATATTTAGCTTTTATCTATATTTTGAAAGAATTTTTTTTTGATAAGTTGCAAGGCCGGGAAATTTTTTGCATCTTACAAGTTTAAGATGAATTGCTTTGACACGGATTTTCCTCATTCAATTAAACCAGTTGTATAATACTAGTAAGTATTTGTCTAAGTTAATAACAGATGATGAATTTGCGAAATTCCTTATGCGGGTAATTAAAGCTGTCCTACTGAGGCCACACGTAAGCAAAGTATGTTGTGTTCGTGAATATGGYTGCGGCTGCGACAAAATGAAAAATTATTGAAACAGGTTCAAGACGCGGAGTACCAAGGTAGTTAGTTTTCAGATGAACTAAGCTTATCAAAGTCTCACAGTTGGAAGTACTTTTTTCTATTTAATTATATAAGCGGTGCCATTTAAACGTGTTATGATAGTTTTCTAAGTAACCGATTAGTGGTAGATGGCTTAGTCATATATAAGAATRCATATAAATACATAAGTTTATATAAAATGCACAAGTATGTATATTACAATAAAAGTCAACGCATAAATATTTAAGTATGTATGCAGGTGTATTGTACAGTTTTTATTTATATTACTTACTTTGTACTTAATAATCAATTGATGTTCTCTTTACAGTTTCACACGCATGTATTCGTATATTTTTACAATTACTTTAGAATTTGATAATATAGTAGTATTAACACAACGGTATTTGTGACCAATTACTAAATAATTAAAATTATTTACAGGACAAATTAGCAAGCTTCTTAAGCTTTCCTATTACCAACAATATTTCTAAAGCTGTATATTTATAGAACTTTAAACGGAAAAATTAAATTATTTTAATTAATTTTAATTAATTTAGTAGAGACAGCTCAAAACTTTATGACTGCCTCAAACAGATCTGAAATTCTAAATATCATAGGAAACATTGAATTACTAGAGTTTTAAATAAAGAAGACGTTTCCTTTTGACGTAATATCTCAACTTTTAACTCTGACATGCTAAGCTATTTTGCTAAAGCGTTTTTGATTTTACCAACAGCTTTGTTAATATAAATCCCTATTTATCAGATTTATGAAAGGCTAACGAACAAATAACTACCGTTGCAACAACATTACAACATTATATACATAATGGAAGGAAAAACAAGAATAGATTGTGATTAATGTATTTTCAATGATTATGGAATCACAGTTTTTAATAAAATATGTATGTCTAATAGTGTGCATAAATATTTTTTTCTCGTATTGTTGCTAATATGTCATGGCCAAAGCTACAACTTATTTGTATGTATATATGGCATAAAATTGTTGCCTTGGCCAATGCTGCTCTTTTATAAATAAGCAAATACTAGTTTTACATAAAATATACTTTTTAATCAGTTTTTTTTTTACTTTCTAATACAGTTTAGGTATAACATTTATTTGTTGTATATTTTATACCAGTTATCTGAATGCTAGCAATTTGAATAATTTTCTTGCAATTTAATACAAACTCTAATGGCTACGCGGTTTTAGATAAACTACAAATTTATTTACAATAAAATTGCTCGCCTATTTAAACATTATAAGGTATTACTGATTGTAAAAAAATATATATAAAATACACTGAATATACTACTACGTTCACAGCTGTAGGCTTGTGGAAGGACACAAGTGAAAGGAGAATTTCTATAAGTACAAGTTCGTTATTCAGGCTTCTAACGCCATTTCTACATATTGTTGCATTTATACAATAACCTAATTAACTTATTAACAGCACTACAACCATTACTAAATATCCACATTTTTGTGGAGACATACATATATRTATGTATGTACACTTGTACATTTGATGCCATATGGTGATGCTTACTTCACTACACATTTCCTCCTACTGATTTGATTAAATCTTATGAACTTACATATTTTTAAATTTAAAATATAAAAAATCGTTGCATACTTTGTATTGGTAAAATATGGTTGATGTTTCTTATTTACTTTCTTTAAATATTTTTGCTTTGATTTTGATATTTTATTTAGTTGTTCTGATTTTATGCAATCTATTGCTACATTACTTGTAAATTATTATTGGTATATATTATATTTGATTTGAATACAAATTGATATCCACTACATATGTATGTACTAATAACTATTCCCTAGTATTTTACTAATCCCTATTTGCCTTCATATTTTTTGTTAAAATTTTGCAGCTTTTTGTCAAAAGTAATTTAATAAACAACATGTTTTCTACAGTATCTTTTTGTATACAAAGGTTTAGTTTTTGGTTTGTACGCATGTTAGCCCTTTAATCCTTCCGSACGCTTTATAATCTATAAAATACAACATACATGAATCAACTGACTATGTCAGTTTGCATTTGCGATAACGCAATTAATGCCACTAATGTTCCTTTATAAGTGTATATGTATATGCACATACTATAGGTTTGTGTCTCTACGTACTTGAAATAAAGCCAGGAATAGTCTATTTCAATTACTCTCTTTCCCAATAACCGCAACAGCAACATATTTTCGTTGCATGATTTTCCATATTTTAATTCCGTTGCGGTACAAAGGCTGCTTTTGCTGTCATTTGCTTGCAAACGAATCAAACATCGGTTTCGTTGCAGGTAGGCATTTGGTGAGGATGCTGTTGCTGTTGGCAAGTACCATCTGTCAAATCATTGGACAGTTGAATTGCCATGGTTTCAGGTCTTGCACTGGTTGTACTTTCGTTAGTTCCGTAACTTTTATTTTGAGTAAGCTGTGCTCCACCAAGAGGTGTTGATAGCATGGCGTTCGATGCGTTACTCGCTACGCTGCTATTAATTGGTACTTTGTGTCGGTGTTGTAAGTTTGGCGCTGCAGATTGCGGTTGTGACCAGTTAATGCTATTCTGTGACGTAATATTGCGAGTTTTGACAAGTGGCGGATTTTTGGTGGAGGTAGAAAAGGCCATGCCGCGACGAAGTGGAACTCTGGAAAATTTCATCACAAATATATATAAATTGCCAAATAATGGCACAAGGTATGTATGTACATATACTTATGTGCAATCATATCATTTCATTTTTCGAATTAGCTCACCTTGTTGGACTAGGAGGTGGATAAGAAATTCCTCTATGACTAGGCGAAAGCAACAAATTTCCGGAATGGCTTGTTGTCGTGCCAGGTACCAGTAGTGTATTATTACTATAAGTATAATATAGGTTACTGTCGAGGGTACTTAATTCCAATTCCGTAGAAAACAAAGTTGAGCATTGAGTATGGTGTAGCGAACCGATGATAAGCCACGTGAATAAAAATAAAGCATGCGAAAAAGCAAATAAACAAAGAAAAAATTATAAAAATAATAAAAATTTATRAGAAAAGAACTTTCTCACATGTCTACACATACTTATATGATATATAATAACAGCACATGAATAATATTTATACCTCACTTTGTCGGCTAAAAACTAATTGTTTATGGACAAAACGTTCCTTTTTGGCTCGGAATAAACAGAGAGACGTTYGGAAGTCCTCCCACACCACATTTCAACACCGTCACTTAGGAGAAATAATCATTTTGACGACTTTCTCCTCAAAAACCCGCGATTTGGAACACATTTTTATTTTTCTAAATTTCTGGGTAAATCCAAATTAATTTTTTCTTTGATGAAAATATGCCCCTTGCAATTCTACAAATTTCTGCATTTTTATATTTCCTCTACGACCAGTAGTATAGAAGTTATAAGCATTTTTGTATTAGCTTGTATTCTGCAGCTGCTTGCTGCATGCTCCTGGTCGCCTGGTACAAATCTGAGATTTTGGCACCAAATTGAATGCAATTTTTCCTGCTGCGGCGGCAGATTCACCACAAATTTGCAGCATACGCAAAGGGGCGAGATGGGGAAAACGGATGCATGCATATACATTGCATACGCAAAGGGGCGAAATGGGGAACACGGATGCGGCCATATTCACTGCCCGGAAACAGTGGCCCGACCGGAAAAGAAGTAACGGTACCAGACTTCCGGCCCGAAAGGTAGGAGGGCAARCAGGAAGTGGCCAACAGGAAGACCGCAACCGGAAACAGACTAACGGTACCGCACTTCCGGTACGAAACCAAACCGGAAACAGAGGTCCGGAAACGGAAATATTGGACACTTCCGGTTATTCACTTCCGTTTCCGGTTCACCACTTCCGGTTTGATTCCAAACCGGAAGTATGCTACCGTTAGTTCGTTTCCGGTAGAGGGTCTTTTCCTGTTTCCGGGCATTGCATATGGCCGCATCCGTGTTTCACATTTCGCCCCTTTGGGTATGCAATGTATATCCCGCATCCGTTTTCCCCATCTCGCCCCTTTGCGTATGCTGCAAATTTGTGGTGAATCTGCCGCCGCAGCAGGAAAAATTGCATTCAATTTGGTASCAAAATCTCAGATTTCTACCAGGCGACCAGGAGCATGCAGCAAGCAGCTGCAGAATACAAGCTAATACAAAAATGCTTATAACTTCTATACTACTGGTCGTAGAGAAAATATAAAAATGCAGAAATTTGTAGAATTGCAAGGGGCATATTTTCATCAAAGAAAAAATTAATTTGGATTTACCCAAAAATGTAAAAAAAATAAAAATGTGTTCCAAATCGCCGGTTTTTAAAGAAATTAGGCATTAAGTATGCCTTAGCATTTTGCTTACACTATTTACTTAAGTCATAAGGACGGACAGGTATACAGTCAACCGGATTTCAACTTTTCTCGTCATCCTGATCATTTATATATAACCCCATATTAAACTCGAGTAGTTTTAGGTGATACGTACAATGTTTAAGGAGAGAAAGAGAGAGGGGCGAGTTAAATCACATTTCGCGGTAGTTAAAATCTTTCTAATTCATATGAAAATGTTTGAAAAAGTATTTAAATGAATAGAAATGTAATATTTTTCATGTTTTCGAATATATACAAATACAAATACATTTCAATGAGATAATAAGCGAATAGTATTTACGTATGGCTTTGGTTCAGGTTAAGGTTCGGCAGACTTTGTCCCAAATGATTAAGTGGCTGTACTGAAAGTGTGTTCGCCCTTGCAGTGTTAACTTTGAGTTTGAGTGGACCGGATTGCAAATTTTTGCCTACAAAATATATGAAATAAAATTAATGAATATTACAAACGGATTCTACTCACTCATAGAGCCATCCTCACTGGATAATGAATTGGTCTTTTCAAATTCCACCGATATATTACGCGAATCATTCCACTCGGTAGAGCCGCTGTGACTATTATTGGCGCTAGATACGTGACTGCATATTGACGAATTCATTGGCGATTTTTTTATGCCAAGTGCATCCACTGTGCTGCCACTTACTCCACTCCCCGCAACCAAACGGACATTTTCCCAATTGCCGGTACCTTGTTTCAGTCTTGTGTAAATCATTTTAGCGCGCTTTATTGACTCATACCAATTTTTTGCCTCCGAACATTGTAGAGTGAATGCAGTAACAACCACTTCAAATTCATTGAGGTAGATACAATTTAAAATATTATTGCTTTGTTGTACAACAAGTCTATCGGTTAAGTACGGTTGACGAATCACTTTCAGCGAACCGAGACCACGTTTCGCGATCGCTTTGCAGATAAGCAGCATATCCGTCAGCAAAAAACAATGAACGTCGGTCTTGCCAAGGTTGTCTTTAAATTTATGGTCGCCTTCCATGAAGAGATGGCGCACTTGGTGCGCTGGACATCCTTTCATTGGAGCGCACAAGTCAAACATTTTATTATATTGCTTTATAATTTTGTCTAGTTGCTCGTTGTTGGTGTCCTATCGATCACAATATTTAGAGAGGAAGGTTAAATTTTGCAAACATTTTTAGTTATGCCTTTCACATTTGTGTCTTACCACTACATCATAGGACTCAATTCGCGCCATAACACCTTTCAAACGTTCATTTTCCTGTCGCGTTGTCAAGTGGTTATTCACACTAAACACGAAGTTCTCAACCGAATGGATCTAAAAATCGCAATGGGTAAAGTAAGTGATAATCGATATACTATATATGTATATATAAAAGTACCATTGAATCGACTGACTCGATTTGCTCCATATCCAACATGTGCTTCTTGATCGCTGTCAAAAGCAGACTGTACTTGGTCAATCGCTGCATCGGCCGCACTAAAATGTCGGCCAATCGGAGCCGATTACACAGCTTTTGCGACTCACACCAGGCCAAATAAGATGTAAAAAGTGCATTGTTATGGTTAAGTTCCTTGCAATAGAATTGACAAGTACTCTGTTCTGCACAATACTTTTTGTATGGTGCGAATATTGAGGCGAAAGCAACAAAACCCTGTTGGAAGAAAGCCACACGTAGAGGTTCACCAGTAGCGACACTGTGCGCCACCATGGGGTAGAGATAAAGAGTCCAGAACTTAAGATTGGCTTCGCATATATCCCGTACATTCGAAAATAGTCGATGTTGATCTACATCGGTAAGCAGTCGCTCCAATTGTACAGCTTCTAAACATGCCAAAAAGAGCTGCAATCAAAAAGCCCTTTTACTACTGGACRGTATATTTGTTGTCATCAAATACTTACATCCGTTACTGTTTGGAGTGCGTGAATGTAGTATACTTCGGTGGTAACTAACTCCCAAATTGCAGTTTGTATTCTCATTTCGCTGTCATTCATAGTTGTGCTATCCACAATATCCTTCCACGACTTGTGCATATTGTCCAAATACGCCAAGGCCGCATCAAAATCCGGATGATCGAAATTTACTGATGCCCTCTTTTGTGGTACACCATTCTTTGCGTAACTATTAAGTAGTTCACATAATTGACTTTGCTGTGGATTTTTAATACCGAACAAACCGGACCAGCGTTGTTTGAGTTGTTTTCCTGGAACAGCGGCTTCGCTGGTCTCTTCCGTAGAGGCGGAAGAGAGCAATCGCGGTGGACGAGTGCGGGAACCCTAAATGATAAACGTATTATTTTCAGAAAACCAACAGATTTCGATTGGATATTTCTTACAAATGATGCGGCCTTTTGCAAAGTTTTTCGACTGCCATCGCTTTCAGTTACAGTCAAATGATGTCCAGCTAAGTTTTCTACTTCAGYATTTTCATCCAAAGAACTTGCTAATGGTGAGTATCCTATTGAAATTACCATTTATGGGAAAAATCAATTATGATTTCAATTATTCGTTGAGGGGTTGATTAATCGAGCATACTGAATGAAGTTTTTGTGTTATTGACTTACGTACCTGTTTCTAAAAAGCTACTAGGGGGATTATTATCAGTAATGGCGATTTGTGAAAATGTTAAATTGCGTCTTTTCAATGCTTGACTTAGCGCGGAACTGAGAAATACATAGAATATATAAGTGAACATAGTTAGCGCTAGAAGCTGTAAGTCCAAAAGTATAATACTTACTGCAAAGTTACGCCTTTGGTCGCTGGTATGAATTCCTCCTCAACACCACCTTGATCTGTACAAAAACTCACAGAAAAGTATTCCGAACTCGTGACCTAAGAATATTTCATAAATAGTTTTAATAGACTCTCGTTGGAAAGGTTCAAGCAACACATTTGAATAATACAAATGCCAAGAAATTGACATATGAATAAATACATTTGTGCATATACACATTTCTAACTACCACATGTAAGTAATATTGATAATTGGAATTGGGTTAAAGGGTCGGAAGTTCAAATCTCTTTACTTGTGAAATTTAATAACGCGGAAGAAGAAGTTGCATAAGAAAAAGGATGCAAATATTGATAAGTTTAGGGTAAAATGCTGTAACGAAGTAGAGGATAGAAAATGTAACTAAAATCTAGCAAGTAACTTGAGGTAAAAAATTAAATTAGTTGAGTTCTTTATTGCTGCGTATATTTGCTTGTTCATCCAGTTTTTCGCATAGTATAATGTCATCTCCGACGACTGGATGGATACGTCAACGGATACGAACTGATTTCGCTATATTTATCTACGCTAATATGGATAGTTTGAACAAAAAAGGTAGCTTCATAAAATTTGGTATGCGGTAAGGCAATTAAGATAAAATAGTGCTCTGAAAGGGTGAAATTCGGAATTGGAAGTACATAAAGCAAAACTGGTAATAAATATGCAAATCATAATGTTCTAGCCAGAGAAATACGAAAAATTATCTACACGTCTAAACGAACACACGAATAACACTTAACTCACCTCACTGCGTGTTAGCAGTGGTTTTTTACGCTGTACAAACGGAGATTTTTTCTTATAACTCATCACAGGCCTGGTGCCTGTTGGAGCTATTGTCTCTTCACTGGTTATATTCGCTACCGTTGAAGAAGAGTTCAACACAGATGGATATTGATCTGGATAAAGCTGTTGAGAGGTTTGAATTGTTGAAGTGGCTGTATTGGTGCAAACTTCGCTCCGGCTCTGAAATTGATGCGAGGGATTCATTTTGTTTTTAAGCCAGACTGTCACTACCGAAGAGGGATTTGGGGTGCTAATAATGTGGGACGTTTTACAGACTTTGGACAGACGTTACAAATTGCTGACGATAGCAAACACGATTTTTAAGAAATAAGAAAATTTCTTCCATGCACCACAAATGCATACTGCGTTAATATAAAATAAAACTACATTTCAAGTGTCCTATAAACACTCTCGAACGCCTASTATATTATTGATAGTTATATAGGAAAGATGGTATCTGGGTTTTTATTTGTTTTTTTATACTAATTCGTAAGATAAATATTTAACCGTTATGTTTTATGAATCCATCTTCACATAGGCTAAACTTTAAGACAAAATAATTTATGTTTGCAGTACAGTTTACTGAAAATAATACAAGAGTAATTTTGCAGATTTTAATGAAAAAAACTGAATGGAGATGAAATAAGTAGGTATTTAATAGATATCTCTGTTAAAATTCTTACTTATGCTTTTCATTTCTAGAATTTTCTCACTTTATAGTACTGTTGTACCAGCCCTTATATTATATTTACTTGATTACTACTTCTTTCTATACCAGGAATTTATACTAGGACAGGTAAATACTAGAACACAAAAAACTCCTAACAGGGAATATGCATTAAAATTTTATTAATTTTTCTACGAGACTAACTGTAAAAAACTCACCATATTTGGTGTTATGCTAACAGGAACACCACGATGACCTGCTACCATGGGGTCAAGTCCGTCCAAGTGTGTTAAGCTTTTAGATTTCAACTATAAAGAGACAAATTAATTAAAATTTTGCTACCAATAACAAATATAGAATGTGCTTGCTTTACTTATATTAACATAAGATCACGACGCAACAGTCACCTAAGCACTGACCAGGCACGCTGCCTGCATTACTTATGTAGCCAACTGGCAGCCAGCTTACCGTAAATGACTTTCAAATAACATAACATCACATCGCGGCAGTCACCCAAAAACCCGGGTTGGCACGGTCCCTGCGTTGCTTATATAGCCAACTGGCAGCCATCTTCCAGAATTTACCGCGTGATTTTCAAAACACATCACGGCGCGAGAGTCAYCTAAGCACTGGCTAACACTGCGTTACTTATAGTATATAAAGCCCGCTGGCTGCCAGCTTCACCTGATGTCGCAATGTGATTTCCTTACTACTTCACATTGCGGCGGAAGAGTCACCTAACCACTGGCCAGGCTCGGCACCTCCTTTTCTTTAAKAAAACCAGCTGTGAGCCAGTCACCGTTCAAAATCTAGATAGAGATCATTTAATATCTTTTTATGCTATATTATATTATAACTTCGGTGCTCACTTTTATTATAATAAGAAATAGTTTAGGCATTGCAGGTCAACTTAATATAAAATGGAACATAATGTCATTTAAAAYAAATATGGGTGGTTGCTGAACAGGTTAAATGCAGATCAGTTATTTTCARTGAACTGTGTTTATACTAATAAAGAAGAGGAAGACAAGGATTTGATATGAAAACCAAGATAARAATTAAAATTTTATAATAATTTAAATCTTTCGTATTATCCATTCAACATTATCTTAAATATTGCCTAACTAACCAACGGAAGGTAAGCGGAAAAGCGTTATACAATTTGAAAATAGTGAACGGAAACTACACAGCAAATAACTAAAAGGGTGCAAGAAAATACTGACTTCATTAAAAGTCCAACATAAACAATTACCGAGTAAATTACGCAAATTCTCAGCAAAACAAATATAAACACGATATCAATAAAAAATAAAAAATAAAAAATAGCACATAGCGAATTTGAATTATAGCACTTGGTAACGCATAATAAAACCTAACAAAAGCCTTATGGTAACCTGGGGAAAGACATAACGACAGAGAGAACTGCGCGCCCACTTTCCCACTTCGACTTAAACTGTTTTTTAACTTTTAATGTAAAATGCTACAAGTGAGCAGATTAAAAATTAATGCACACTTTTATACAATATTTTATACTAGTGATATCGTTATTTCCTTCCTTTTTTGCATAGAAAGAAAACTGAGTATGACTTATAGGTTGTATATCGATTTAAGAATAAATTAGCCGATCTATCAAAAATAAATAAATAAACGCTGTTTAATGGGTTGCAAATGTGCTCTCATTTAATGGGAAAAAATCATAGTGTTGAACTCATATGCACATATGTATATACTCGATCCTTCGGGATAAGTCTCATTTTAAAAAATGATTAAAAAAAACGAAAAGTAAACTAAAGTAATACTGTTTTTTTTAATTTATGCTTCTTAAAAATTAAAATATACAAAAACCAAATTAAAATTTAGTAAACTTAATTTATTTATTCACAAAATTTTTTAAATATATAAAAGTATAAAACAATGTATGTAAATAGTTCATTAGAAGGGTGTGTATGAGACATTTTAGTGGCATTTACCTGTAATTTACTATTTGGTGGAGAGACTACTAAACAAATCTTCATGGTAGCACGCAAGAATTCCTCGCGTTTCGTATTCAAATCCTGCGGCATTGCGATTGGAGATGTTACGGCTGATTGCTTTAGTGGCGCACGCTTCGTTGCGCTATATATGGCCGCGGTTGGTGTTTTAGTCGTCGTTGATGTGGTCGTTGTGTTCGTGTTGTTGTTGTTAATACCTTCAACAGTACTCGCAATTGGAAGAAAGGGATTAAGGCTCTTTATAACATTGCTATCGGAAGCGGAAATACATGGTGTAGATGTACGGAGGGAGGTATCTGGAGTAGTAACTTGCGGTTGTGGTTTGTGAGATGGCTGTTGATGTAGCAAGTGTCGTGTAGGCGAATTCAAAATGAACAGTTTACGACGCTGTCGCCCTGGAGTTGATGATGAACTGTTAATAGGACTAGAAGTTAGTTGTACATTAGCACAGCTTTTCACTGTAGCTATTGCTGAAATAGCGCTATCACTGTGTGTAGACTCTTGGGAGCCCGCTCGACTATATACAGGCGTTGGTAGTTGAGCCGAATGTGTGCCACTGCCATCCAATTCTAACCCACTCGGGTCTTCTCCCTGACCGTACTTAACATTGGTCACGTTATCCTCGAGAGGCTCGTTCTCCTCATCATAGACGCTATGATAGGTACGGGCGATAATTTCTGGTAAAAAAGGATTATTCGGTGAGGTTAACGTATACTGATAATACGATCCGGCTGTTTCATTTGAGTCACTACGTTTTAGTATTGGCTTTGACGTGGCAACTGTATTACTATCTGCTGGTAGGGCCACTGTAAATGCGCTATCAATATCATCGGATTCTTCCGGAAAACTACCGACATAGAAATCGGCAGCTACGTGACTACAACTACCGCTAGTTGTTGAAAATCCCAAATTCTCCCATTCACCTGAAGAAGAATTATGTGACGAAGCCGTGAATCCCTCATTGGAGTGCGCGTGGATACTTTTTGTACTTTCATTACTTGACTTAAAAAGAAGATTTTGAAGACGTGTGAGCTTCGTTGAACTGCTCTCGCTTGTAATGCTGCAACTACGACTTGTTTGTTGCTGGTGAATATCACTTTTACTACTGCTTTGTGATTTTAGTTTTTGCTTTTGTTTATTTTGTTTCGCTGTTAAACCAATGTCGCCCACCGTTCGTCCTGAATTGCTTGCCTCTGACACACCATTGTTGTTATTGGTGCTCACCTCGCCACCCATAGAGGAGTTCGATTGATGCCACGCCCAATAGCTGATGCTGGTTAACGACGAAGTGCGTTCTCCGATCTCGCCAAAGTTACTTTCCAAAGAGGTACTCGAGTTTGTCGTTGCGACACTACTTAAGTGATGATATGCATACTCAGGTGGTGTGTCTGCGTCAGGACTGTCCAAAAGCAGCGCCGGATTGATATGCCCCCCACCAGCTGCACTGTATACACTGCTTTTACTRCCGCCACCCGAGTCTACACTTCCGCCGACCCCCAGGCTAGGCAGATGACTAAGAGAAAATATAGAATGCGAATTACGTTGTAGCGGGGGCAATGATCTAATGCCGAAGGGTTTTAAGTTAAAACTGCGTCCACCACGACTATCAATAAGGCTATTGCAGCTGCTGTTTTTTTCCTCTGGAGAGTACTGTTTATCTCTGTGATTTGTACCGCCGAGGCTCTCCAATCTATGTTCAGGTAGTTTGATTTCAAGTGATTTATGTTCGCCGCGTCGGAATGAACGTCTCAACTTCTCGGCAAATCTGCCACATGATTCCTTGGAACCCTTATTTTTCCCAGACGAATTTGGACGGRTGTTTGTGGTTTTAACTGTTGCGGTAGATGGTTTCTTTTCCTTCTTTGTGTTCTTTATATTGAAGGTATTTTCACTTTTTTGGTCATTATTTTCCGTTTGGATATTGTCCAACAATTTTTCCTGCATTTGCATTGATATTTTTATTTTTCTGTCCACGGAAATTGGTTTGTTGTTTTCGCCTACTGTTGGCACTGCAATGACGTCTATTTCGTTTTTAACAACGTTTTGTTGTTGCTGCAAATGTACGATTGCTATTGCGGAAATGAAGCCACCGCCCATTACGTCTACGCTGTCGTCCCTCATGCACTGAACATCGCTATCGCCAACTTCAACTGCGGCTGATATTGTTGAAGGTGTCCTAGTTTTTGCACTTGCACTCGTGCAGAACTTAGTTTTTTTTATGGAACTAGCTTTGCTCAATTTGGTCGAAAATGTATTGCGAACACTTTCTGTGCAGCGAATCAATTCATTACGCTTAGAATGCCTCTGGCGGGTTAGTCGTTCATTTTTAAGTTCTTGTCGTCGCGATGTACGCAGTTGAACTTGTTCCTTTTTGTTTATATCGATTGCTTGTTCATCTCTTTGTATTTGCGTTAGTGAACTGTCCATCGATGTGGGGAAGGTTTTTGTTTTTTTTTCACATCACTCTCTGTTGTTTTTCATTATTTCTCCGATTACATAATATGCTAAAATAATTTGTGTTTTCCTACCGTCGAATTCCGCCAGTGGAACGCGTGTAGATAATGTAGGCTATATTCTAATCTAAATGTAAATAAGCGTTTCACATTTCCCCTATATTTTGATTTACTTATGTCAAACATCATTGAAGATGTTCCATGAATTATGTTCGTTATTTTGATTTTATTAATCCGAAGWTTTACACTGCTTAGAAGATTTTCTCACGGTCTTTTGATGTTTCTTTATTGTATTTCAATGTTTTTAATTCTAATCAACTAAAAGTATTGTATCAATTAAACATTTGATTATCAATTTAAAATTTTTAATTAAACTGTTGTTCAACGCATTAATGTGCTTTACTATAAGCTGTAAATACACATTGTTAGGACTACTAAAAATTATTATATATGCATATTTTGGACCAAAAAATATGGCACACCGTTTCGAAAAAGRCAATGCCAGTATTGTAAAAGTTTTGAAATCGGAAAGAGTTGGCTTGAAACAATTTTTGTCAAGGTTATTAGCAGAGATATTCAATAGTCTAATACTAAGCAAAGCAAATGAAACCACACATTTAGTGTAATTTGTCTGGRTGGAGTGCTTGCGGTCGTGCTTTTTATGTACTTATTATTAGCAAATTTAGCAATTACATACAAGAGCATCACAAATACAGCAGCTCCTCGTCACGCTGCAGAAGWCTTGTAGATAAATATTCCTGCTGATTATGCAACTAATTCATATTAATCCTCTCTGTAGCGCCGATACTATTTCTCAATGAGTTAGGATATGCAAGCAGGCAATAACAAGATTACTAGTAGGTA